GGATTGATGTTTGGCAACAGAAACAGTCCAGTTCCACAGGATGAACTGATCTTTTGCAAATGAACGATTTACGATATGGTTTTCCAATTTTACTGAGTAACTCTGTAATTTTCGCTAAATAAAATCGGTTGCCCCACCTGTGTTCTCGTTCACTACACTATCACTGAGATATCATTACCACAATTTAACTATTCCGAAATTTTCAATATATTATGACTGTGAAGATTGTTGGCGCTTCATTGAAATCATGAATCGATCGATAATGTCAGACCACTATTAGACAGCCATTTTATCCGAGCATGAGACGACTGTATCAGCAGTGCGCATCAACAATACTGAGCGCGAGAATCGAACCCAGGAGCCTCGGTCTAGCATGTGCACATTTAAACTTGTTCAAGATTGAGCTGTCATTCAGTCAGTCAATTACAGAGTAGAACTTCGTACATCGGTACACAAGTACATAAGGTCGCCAGAACCCCATCAGCACAGAGAGACAATTGTCAATTCGAATCCCATAGCGGTAGCGATAGTAGAAGTATCAGCAGTAATAGAGAAGATTAGGGAGCGAAGATATTATTTGAGAAGTATTATAATTCAGCGAGATAATTTTAGAAACAGAAGGTTAGAGATGATGAGGAATTCAGAAGATTGGAATTCGAGAAAACACAATAAATGAAAGCACCTGCGCCATTACAAACGCTTTTGAGACATGTCATTCAAGGCCTTTAACCATCCGGTTAGTATCATCTCGCAGACCCCAATCAAGTAACCTGCATCTGCCAACATGACTCAGTTCACTCGTCAGTGATTTCATGGATTTGTGCCATATTTTTTCCAACCTAATCCTAAACCACAAAAAACATTGCTCGTCGAGGCAGTCGGTGGTTGGGCATACAAAACACATGTCCTAACCACCTCAACTGAAGGAGTTTCAATGCCTCATCTATTGATTTGCTATCCTGACTATAGAGCATTGCTTATTCGGTTGTCCCAGGGTAGACGAGCAATGCTTCGCTTCGAGCCGTTATCCAACGGTGTTCCCGACCGTAGCTGCTACCTTGACGTGGTGGTCGGGCTTGCCTATCGTGATGACCCAACCGAGCTATATTGGCTGGAACATATGTTCCTGAAGCTTCTACCATGCCAGAATGGTCGATTGGAGAACGATCAGACTAAAAGCAGCTACCCAAGGTCTGAGGGCGAAGTCGTACTGCTGACTGCAGAGGGGTGTGACAGCAGTAAAGTGTTTCCCTCGGACAATCAGCATCTGCAGCGATGTTGCCTTTTCACAAAGAAGGAAGGGTTAAAAAAGGTTGACCCTAAAAATGTCACACCTCCCCTACCTCACGGATTTCCGTCTCCTTGGATAAGGGTGCCCACTAAGGGCTTTCAAGAGCGATGCTAATACTCAAAAACTTCTCATAAAAAGACCGTGCGTGACCGGCCTCAAGCAGTTGTCCCTTGGACTTTGCGGT